AAGTTAATAATATCATTATTATTTTTCTGTGCAGAAGTTGTGGCCTGAAGAAGAGAGAGGGAGTTGAAGTTGGAGAGGAGTAAAAACGCAGGCAACAAAAACAAACTTAAGTAGATTTATTTCATGATAAATGTTTTTTATACAGCAACAACAAATGCTGCCTGTGCTAATCTTAACGATGCATCTACCCGAAAAGCGAACGAAATGAAATAAAGCGACGAACAGCGAAAGAGATGGAGATACATACCTAGAGAGAGACGGCTACAGAGTAGAAGTAGAAATAACCCCAAAAAAATAAGCAACAACTGTGAGTTTGCTTGCTGCTTTTGCTTTTTAATCAGCGTGAGGATCTCTTATCAACTCGCTTGAATCTTCGCTCAGAGCGGAGTCGAGGTCAGAGAAGTAACAGCAGGGAAGCGGGGGTGTGACTCCAAGTGCTGCGTCATTCAGAATTGCAGGCAAGACACTGAAACATATGCGGAGATCCATACAGGAAATTCCAATATAAATTAAAGGAACAAGAAATACTTTTTAAAAAATGTCTTTAAAATGTTTGTACCATGAGCTCCATTACATTATTATATGAAGATTCTTTATATATGATACATATTTTGCGTAAAATTTGTATCATTTGTCATGAGTTGATATTATATTTTTCTCAAAATGTTGACAATAAATTGAGTAACTTAATTATCTTCATTTAATTGGTTTGCCTTTAATAACATTTAATATGTTTTCTGTGTAATATTGAACTCTCGTTGTTGCTACTGATGTACTGTTGTTGTTGGCTTTGAATTTTTAGCATATTTTCTTGAAAACGCTTTTTCGATGTAGTACAATCAGCAGACGTTGATCTGTCACATTTGTTCATATTTATGTCAATAAATGAGCACGTAACAACAATGACATACAACAATAAAAATACATACGCACACAGAGCCAATAGTATGTACCGACTTGTAGCAACATAATTGCAAAACAATTGCTTCTGCCAGCGACAGAAAGAGATGGCGAAAATGGGGGGAAAAAGAGAGGGCGAGTGTTGGCAGTTCATCACCCCAACGACAACCACAACAACCAACATCAACAACAACGCCAAACAACCGCAGCGGGCGAATTTATCTAAAACCTTTTGCAGATATTCACGCATGAAGTGTTTATCGCTGCATAAGCTCGAAACTTAAAAAAAAAACACCCACAAACTGTGGAATATATTCTAACACATAAGCAGGCATGAAAGGCTAAAGTTGGTAGTTAATGCAAAGAGTTACACACACCGAATACCCTTTAGCTAATAACAAAAGTAAAAACTGAAGGAAAATATTATTTTGAAGCCCATAGTGGATAATGAATTAAGAGATGGTCTGGAAATTAATGTATTTTAAAGTTATGTGGATTAAATTAAAGGAAAAATATTTTCTTACAAAACAAAACTTGTAGACAACAGTCTTAAAAAAAGTACGAGTAATGCGATAATTTTGAGTTGTTAAAGATCGGTCAAATATCTAAAAAATATGGAGGACTTAGCTTTTAACACAATCTACTGTTTGGCTCACGTTCATCTAAACTTATGCGTCCCTGAGCTGCAATGTCTCATGAGTATCTAGGGTATCTTGAAGTCGTGCCCAAAACCTTGGGCCCAGGGGTTAACCGAAGGGGGTTGCAAGGGAGTTGGCGGCAAGCGGCACATTTAATGAATCTAATTAAAAGTCAACAATGGCAAACGAGATAATCGTCGCAAAGGCAGCCAGCAGACAACAACACAATCGGCAGAGGGAGGGTGGTGGGTTGCTGTGGATATAACTCTATATATATAAATATAACGCTAGGCCACAACGCATGCGCAACATGGTGGCAACAGCTGATTACAGAGAGCAAAATGAGAGAAAACGCGGATGAGGAGGAGAAACCAGGCGATTGTTATCGCTGGGAAAGAAGAAAACGTTTTTTTTTTGCATCTGCAAAGTTGCCAGTGAAATGGAAATAAACCAAACGCCGATAAGAATCAGATGGGGAGTGCCAGGAAGGACCGCGAGAAAGAGTAGCAAAAGCAACATAAAAATAGATCTTCATCGGGCGATAAGCTCGCAAGGAAAACCGGGAAAAAGCTGAACAAAAGCCAAAAGCTGCAGAATGATGATGGAGAGTTGATGGAGATACAGATAGAAATGGCCAAGTGGATGTGGCTGCGACTGCGGCAGGTGAATGATAACCGATGGGGACCGGGATCTCATTGTACCAGAGTAAATATACTTAAATTATAGATTATTTGAAATAATCACCAATGCAGACCACTAAACTAGAGATGAAGTACAATAAAGTAGATCGAAATTTCATTAACTCAAATTTTAAAACCAAACCAAGAGTATGCTTACAAAAAATATTCCTAAAATCTGAGTATAATTACTCCAAAATTCAGAAAAAACATGTATTTAAAACAATAAACCCATAGCACCACTAATTTTTATGTATTCCCCAACAGATTGCTAAAATGTTTCGTACAACTCATTTTGCTCAGTGCATTCAGATACAGATACAGAGATACAATTAAACACAAAACGCTTATCGCTAAGCAATAATCAGAATTCCATTAGCCGTAGACGCGATATCGCTGAAAAGCATCTCCCTCGCGCACAGACACACACAAGCACACCCTCTTTGAATGTATCTTTGTATCTGTATCTGCAGTGGGTCGGTTCGGTGTTTCAGTGTTTGTGTATCCGTTCGCTGCTGGTTGGTTGGTTGGTTTTGGTTCTGTTTCTGCGATGCTATCTAAGCGCAGAGCTCGCCGCGCTGCGCTCTTATCAGTGCTTTATCAGTTTTTGTTTCGAATAATTCCGAGGCGAGCGAAGGAAGTCGACCGCAGCAGAGAGCCTCGGTCTCGGGAACTCGGCGCACAATATCTTATTTCAGTTGGCAGCGGAGCGACGAGCGAGCGAGTGTGAGTGTGAGTGTCTCGGCTGCAGATACGAATCCCAGTACGAATCCAGTGCCAGTTCGAATCCCAAAGATAAACAACTTTGGCCCGGCGTCCCGGCATCAACAAACATCAGCTGTGCTGCGTCGTCATCGTCATCGCCGCTCGGTTCGTTCGGTATCTGTATCGGTTGTATCTGTATCTCACAGCGGCGCACGAAAATTTCATTACTCACCGCCTCAGCCGGTCCGAGTCTCAGTTTGCTGTGGAACGCGGAGCAAGCAGCAACCACGAGCGGTACGCGGTACTCAATTCAAAGCGGTTCGACGGAAAGAGAACCACTCGACACGTTCGTCATAACGAAAATTTGAATAATTGTATTACAGTGAATGAGTCAAATTTAATTCCCACAAGAAGTGACAACATAATTGCCGCCTAAGTACGGCCTAAACCGAAAGCTTAAACATGTGCAAGTGAAAAAGTGAAAAGCCACAACTTAACCTGGATTATCTGCCAAGTGGATTACTATTTATATGAAAACAATGCTCAGTAGCACTACGAGAGGTGAGAGACGTTTAAACTGAGTTCTAGATGGAACTAAAAAGGGTTTATGAGTAGTAACACAACTATGAAAATGCATTTACAATTAAAAACACCAAAAAATATCATTATTAGTTATCGAAGCAGCTAGGTATATTTTCACCGAAAACAAAGTTGGTCCCGATTACTCGAAAAACCAAATGACGAAGCAAACTACAAAAATAAAATTCCTTTAAAAATTTAGCTTAAAAAATTGTTATTTTTTCATGTTTGTATAGAAATAATGATTTAATAGGTTTTTTATTAAAGTGAGCACATTCATAATTTCCGAAAAATTTAATTTATTTTTAAAACTGAGGGAGCATCAAATAATATAAAAATACAATACATTTAGACTATTTCCATTTGGATCTTTTTTGAGGTGCTGTTTCAAGAGCCCCATATAGAAGCAGCTTTCGCTTATTTCACTGGACCCTCAAATCAACCTGCAAGTGGTGTGTGGGTGTAAAAAACGGAAAATCCCGCCAATTGCCATCGAAGCCAGCCTTTGGACCCTGGCTGAAAAGGGGGCTAGAAGTGAGGAGGGGGGAAAGGGTCCCCCGTACCTCCTTTCCGACATGTCCGACACTGTAGTCCAAGTCCAAGTCCGCATTTCGCGTCCATGGCAGCCAGCTTTCAGTTGCTTATCAGTCGCCTATCTGCGCTGTGTGGCTTCACATTCATTCCACGGCCTCAGTTTGGCCCGGCTCATATGTATCTGCATCTGTGAGTACGAGTATCTGTGTGTGCTGCGCTATCTCCGATCTGCGGCGAGCGAAGAAGAGGAAGCAGAGGGGGTTGCCGAGGGGAGGAGCTGAAATAAAAACGAAGGAATTCTGCGGATTGTTGTTATTATTGTTATTATAATTCCTTGATGTGAATAATCAGCGAAATAAAATCAAAAATGAGAAAAACAACACAAAGAGAAGTACGATGTATAGAGGGGGCACCGGGGACCGGGTACTGTAGTGTAGTGTAATCGAGTGGAGTGAAGGCTTGGACACCGGCCTCGCAACCAACTACTGTGCGTAGTAGTAAACCCAACTTTGCCAACAGAAAAAGATACAAAGATACTGGGCAACAGAGAATGGGTGGACAAAACCAAACAATGCGGCCCTCGCAGCAATTATTATCGCTTTAAAGTAAAGCCATTTGGCTGGAACTATCTGCGATACATATATCTGCTACTATTAGTCGAGACCTTTGGGCGGAAAATATCCGTAAATTTTAGACCCTGTCCTAACGTTTGTTCAGGGCCATATTATTTTACATTAGTCCTTATGTATTCGCAATTAAATGATATATAGTACATCTTTAATTTATCAATTAAATATATTAGGCTAGTTCATATCATTAAATATTACTTTACATTAGTCTTTTGTATTCGCAATTAAATGATATATAGTACATCTTTAATTTATCAATTAAATATATTTACATTAGTTTTAAATTGACTTGAATCCTAATCCTCTAATCCTCTAAATATAATCTCTGTCTCTTATAGGTGATTGTTCCGATACCACAGAAGAGATGACCGTCGACAGTAGAGGTAAGCTGACTTGAAATACTTGTATGAATATGAAAATCCTCCGCAAAGCAGGCTACATCCTGTCGCCTGTCCGTTGTCCTTTTGTCCGTCGTTCAATCCGAGATAAGTTTGCAGCTTAAACGAAATGGGCCAAACCAAAAAATAAATTCTTATCTGTTCGACTGCAGGAAACAGGCGCCTGTCCCCGTCCCTCTCTATCTATGGCTGTCTCCCTCTGGCAGACATAACCCGTTAATGCCCAATAATAAATTTCTCGATGTGTGTAGACCCAGGAATATTCCCCACCTCTTCAACTTTGCTGCTAGCGTCTGATATTGTGCCAATAAAAATTTAATCCCAAAAAATGATGAAGACGAGAGCTCTCTAATTTAATACAATTTTTATCAGTGCAGTGGCACTGTTTCATTCCCAGTCCCTGTCGCCTCCTGCGGTTTTTGTGATTTTGACACCTCAGACCTTATAAACCTTATAAACCCTTTCGGGAAAAGGAGGGTGGCGACAACCCTCGTTTCAGTCGCTTGGATGGACTGCAGGAAATGACAACGGGTCAAGTACGTCTCTCGCTCGCACTCGGTCTCTATTTGTAAGACCCCTTCCCATTACTTTGTAACCCCTTGGTTAACCCTCCCTTGGGTGGAATTTTGACTTCACTCCGACATCATTGGCATCAATTTCATATCACTTCATAATCATCAGCAATGTCAACGTCATTGAGACGATGTCTCTGACCCGCCGCCCCGCCACCCTTATGAGTTTCGCAGAAGCGGAATTGAATGTTTTCAGTAGATAAATGTTGGTTATATACCCCGAGGATTATCGTTAAGTTCATGGAACTTTATTGGAGTTTATCTGAACAGCTCTGAATATTTAACCCTTAACTAGAAATTTTTTCGGTTTATTATTTTGTTTATAGATTAGTTAGTTTATTTTTTGACTAAGACTTTGAAACATTCCAAGCTAAGCTTTAATATAAATACCAGATTGCTATACAGATTAAACATATCTGTATTTTACAAATTTATTTAATATTTTTTATTCTAAATACCAGATTGTTATACAGATTACACATATCTGTATTTTTCAAATTTATGAGTCACATTTTAAACAATAAATTTTTAGTTTTACCCATAATACATTGGGCAGTTTAATCCGTAATCTAAAACCTCAACTCCGCTCCTGCTCGTTTCTGGCACTACATTCCGGACCATTTCGCTGCCATCTCGAGCATTCATCATTAATAATCCCCCGAAACTGGCGGCAATTGGAGCAGGGTATCCCATCCTCCTCCCATTTCCCGCTCCAAATCTCAGCCCTTCCACGTGGCCGTTTTTGTGCTGCGTCAGTGAAAGATTTCCAGCACACACACAGGCCACAAAAGCCAGATGGAATCGGGAACGGGGACCAAGGGGGGCGGTCGAGTGGCCAGTGGGCGTAACAGTTCGCCTAAAAAGTGGGCGTTTGTCTGGGCTAATCTTTATCTGGCTGTTGACACTCCATGGCGACGCCAAGCGACCGAAGAACCGAGGCCAGTCAGCCAACAACAAACGTGGGGAAAAGCGTGTGGCATTCCTTTGCTCCTTTGCTCCTGCCACCCACTGTCCCCCACTTTTTTGGCCAAAGATTGCCTCACTTGCATCGCCATTTCTGCTGTTCAGATTGGATTAGGCCCTGGTGGCCATTCCAGATCCTAAAGCTTGAATTGTTTTTGATTTCGCTGGCAGTCTTCATTTATTATTTCTAAAATAAAAGGCTGATCTGGATGATATACAAGAAATCTTAAAAATAGCTTAGTTTTTTTCGGGATCCTTGAGTTTCAAATATTTGATAATTTTTGTGTTTATTTCTAGTTAAGGTGGATAGAAAAAATATTGTAAAATCTGATAATCCATAGTATATTTTCGGAATATTTCTGCTTAGTTTGATTTCTTTTCCATCCATCATTTCAGTAGGGTATTTCGTCTTCTATCTGACATTGGTTATGTATCTTTTAGGTTTTTCAGGGTCCGCCCCCTGATGTTTGTTTGCCTGTGGTGGCTTATGCTGCTGCTGCTGTTTGGATGCCCCTTTGTCCCACTCCGCCTCTCCTACTTTACTTGCTGGTGTATCTGGCGATGATGATAATGACGTTGCTCACTTTTGGCGCTCTTCATTTGTTGTTGCTCCTGTGCAATGTACTGTAAGCGCATCTCCCTGTGTCCCTGTGTCCCTATGTGTGTGTTTGTATCTCTGTGAGCGCCTGCCCCGTGCCTGTGTGTGTTTGGTTTTTATCTATGAAATTCATGAATGCTTCGGCTTATCTTGCAGAATTGCATACTTGCAGCCCAAGCTCTCCCCCTTGCTGGTCTGGCTTTTTGGTTGGCTGCTACTCAGTTGTTCGTTGTTGGCTGTTGGTTGTTGGCTGTTGCCTGTTGGCTGCCTTCTAATGGCGCTAAGTGGTGACCCCCTCGCAGCCCACCCCAATCCTCTCTAATGGCATTTTATCTATGGCATAATTTTTTATTATGTCTCCCTCTGTGGCCGTGCTGTTGGCTTAATGACAATCCAGCCAAACCGAACCGCACCAAAACGAACTACACACAGACAGCGAGTCAAATTGTTAGATAGCTTTTCGGCATGTAATTAATCATTTGACAAGGTTCGAGCTCCGTTTCTCTATCTCTACTTTTTTGGGGTTATGCGGGACGCATTGCAATTGCTGCGGGCCAAAGGCGAGTGCAGCAAACAAAAAACATCAACAGCAGGGGTAATCGAAAAAAAAACCATTACACGGCGCTCGGCTATATCAGCTGCGTTCCATCAACACACAGCCCTTTCCCTTGCCTCCACTTCGGCCCCCTATTCTTATCCTTACTAAAAAACACCAAGCATACGAGATGTGGGCTGGTGTAAGTGCACCATAAAACAGTAAAATCGTACAGGTTGGGTGCTTACTATTTTCTGGATTTATGATTGGGTATATAAAGCACTGAAATAGCACTTCAATGCCTCCGTCTTTTATGCTTTGCTTTATTGCGCATCCATAAAGTTTTGGTATTATGATTTCAGGGGGACAAATATATTTTATACTATTTTAACAATAAAATTCCATTGGGGAAAAGTTCTCTTTGAAGTATAACGAAATATTGAGCGGAGAAGTAGGAACTCGAGGAGAAAAGGTGGTTGTTTCACAATATATATTAACAAACATGGTAAGGTGCCTAGGAAAATTTTCTAATAAATAATTTTTTAGTGGTCCTTATTTTTTTGTAGGACATCATTTTTTCGCTGTGTTGGAAAGTAGAAACAGAAAGCAGAATGGCAGGCTCGTAATCCTTTTTGCGGCGCGGCATTTATGAAATGTATTCCCGCCTTATCGGTGGCCACAGATCGCAGCTGGTGGTCCTGCTGCTCCTGCCGCCAAATCCCCTCCTGACCCATGGTCCTTGGATTCTGGTGATGATGATGATGATGAGTTCGACTTGGGGGCTTTGGTCATAAAATACTCGCATCAAGTCGAAGGAGGACAGGCCCTTCTGCCTTGTCCTTGCGGTTGCGCAGACAAAGGAGATGGAAAGTGGAGGAGAAAGGACCAGGGGGTTGGCCTCACTTTTTGCGGTGGCCATAACACCAAACGCAATCCTTTGGATAAATTTTCTTATCTTTGTCGACCAGACGACGATATTATTTTTAATACAACAACCGAAATTTGTATGTTCGTGTGTGTTTGGCTCGTGAATGTGCGTGTGCGAGTGTGAGCGTGTGTGATATATGCTGTAATTTTTTTTATGTATATGGCAAGCTTTATATGGCCCTTTATCATTCTCCCAAAAATAAGGGATTCTAGGAGAAGGAGCTGTAGGTCTAGAATAAAATTTAAATTTAGCTTGAGGACGACCGCTTATGACTTGACCTCCGTTCACGGAGGTCCTACGCTCTTCCAGGGATTATGGCTCATTACTTTTTAAGTCTTATATATCCCTTAAAACTTTGATTGATTGCATAAAGATGTCGTAAAGTTTTTAGGCTTGGAGAGGCAGAGCAGAAAAATATATTCTAGTATTATCTTTAACAAAGCCTTCTAAAACATTTTTCTTGATGAATAAAATAGCAAACTGGCCAGTTACCCTTTCTTATTTGAAGCTTTCAAGATTTCCGTTCTTGTTCCTTGTTCTCCATCCTAATGATGGAGTCATTTCTAAACACCTCTTAAATCCTTTGAACCACTTAAATCGTTATTGAGAAGTCACATTAAGCTTGGATACATATCTGTCAAACCATTAGCTGGATGTCAGCACGCTGCCTTTTCATTCCCTTCGTCATCTGAGTTGGACTTGGATTTCTATTAACCCCTTTATGCCAACCACCCCATATTATTTTCCCACATTCTCATGGCTGTTTGCATTTGGCTTTCAGCCGTTTTCCAACTGCTTAACTCACCCACGAATCACCCTCGTCATTGATGTTGATGATTCCTGATTGTTTTTGCTTTAGCTGATCATTGTTGATTGCTTACTGGCTTATTTGTACAGACCGAAAGATATTCAGCAATTCAAGCGTATAAATCGAATTCAATCTAAAGCGTTGGTCGAGTCAGTGTTGTGTACACTATATTAACTGCGGACCACCGGGCAGTTTAAATTTTGAGGCAGGACAAATTCTCAAGATTATCCCCCCCGACTTTTTTAAATTCTTGCAACACTTTTTGAGCTCATTACAAGCTGTTAGCAGGCACTTTGCACATCATCATTTCCAGGTAGCCCTCAGTTCTTCCTTCGGCTAAATGCCGCCTGCGTTTATGGCTTATTTGCTGCCTGTCAGTCACTTGGCTACCTCCTGCCCGCCACTTCTCCGCAGACCACGGACTCCAAGATCAACACAACTCATTCGCAACGTCGTAAACGTTTACGGTGCCACCAATAGAGCAGCCTCGCAGTCCCCCGATCATCCCATCCTCAACCTTATTCGCAAACCCTGTCCTCTGGGCCTTCGTGCTGGCGTTGCTACCACTCTACTCCCCCTCA